TCTATGGCTGTTCTTCTCAGCTGAATAAGAGTCACAAAGCACTTTCCATTTAGTCTTACTAAATGATAAAATTTACACATTATAATAGAAATTTATGTACCATTTGTAAATTTTTAAGCAGCTGTAGAATGTTAGCCTTCCATACATGCATTGGAGTTAAAAAAATGTAAAAATAATTAGATTTTACATGATCTTTTAATACAAATATCCATTTTACTACTGCTTAGTGTTCTGTTTTCACAACTGGAGGCATTAATATTGGTATTGAGGAATTGATATGTTGACGTGTTAGCAAACCATTGATACGGTTTGAACCCTTAGTTCTTGAAAATGGAGGTTCTTCAAACTAAAAGCTAAGAAGCAGCTAAGCTTCTAACCATTCACTTTTAAGATGTATACCTTCTCACCATCGGTGTATGGTAAGTTTGATTCTTATTTACACAATTTGACAGTGTAGGAAGAGCTAGGGTATTTAGGGCTACAGCTGTACTTACTGTAATGCCTTCTTTTACTTACTAAGCGTTACACAGACTTGTTCTAGTACTCATGGGAATGATTCTTGGCATTATGTATGTGTGGTATACAAAGCAAATGTATAGTATTTTCTTGTTATATGTAAGACACCTTGGGTAATTAGACGTTCAAAATCATGTGTTCATAAAAATTCCTCTATTAACAACAGGGAATCTGTTTCAGATGCTTCATTTTACTAATGTTTATCATAGAATGTCCTGAGTTGGAATGGACCCACAAGATCATTGAGTCCAACCCCAGGCCCTGCACAGGACAGCCCCAAGAATCACTATTCCAGGGTCCGACCACCTCCTGGGTGAAGAACCTTTTCCCAATACCCAATGTAAACCCCTCTGACACAGCTTTATGCTCTTCTCTCGTGTCCTGTCACTGGTCACCAGAGGGAAGAGTTTGGTTCCTGCCCCTCTCCTTCCCCTCATGAGGAAGTAAACTGCAATTAGGTCTCCCCTCAGTCTCATCTTCTCCAGGCTGAACAGACCAAGTGACCTCAGCTGCTCCTCATGCGGCTTCCCCTCAAACCCCTTCACCACTTTTGTGGCCCTCCTTTGGGCCTTATGGTAGTAGTATCAACATCAGAAAGAAAAAAATCACAGTAAAAGTACTAGTGGCACCAAAGAGGTGATGGTACCCACTGGAATTAAACTACTGGACATCTCTCTGTGAGCACCCACCATGAGAACAGTTTCCAAAGGGAAACATTTCTGCTTGTGTGTTACAGAGATGTCTAGAAACATAAAAAAATGTCCTGCTTCTTGAGCAAATAATCTTTGTGAAAAGAAACATCTTGCTCTATTGAAATGTTTAGAGCAGCATTATAGTTTTCTAGGTTTCTGGGGGAAACATGATGTTTTTCTTCACTTCTCTGTAATAATTCTTTGTCATGGTCCGATCCCTACTTTTCCAAGGGAGGTTAGCAGTCATATTTGAAACGCATCCCTCCTCCATGCCATTTAAAATAAAATGCACCCTCAGTGGAAATAATTTTGTGTTGTGGGACTTAGTCACATAAGCAGACCAGTAGTTGTTTGTTTATGTGGGTTTATGCTGTTGCCAGAAAACCTTGATAAAAACACAAGAATGTACTTGAGCAAACATACTTTTATTCTACCTAGTGAGACACATTTATTGACTTATGTTTTCTACTAATTTAATTGCTCATGAAAAAGTGGGACCCCAGAGAAATTGTCAGGTGGCTTTCTTTCCTATGGGAGCTATAGAACTCTTCTTTCTTTCTATGAAACAATAAGCACTGTAATATTCTAGGAAGGATTAACCTTTGTATCCAGGGTATGCCTGCTCTTTGGTCTTGAGGTTAAATACGATTTCCAGAGAAATTCTGCATGCTTCATTGCACTCTGCATGCTCCATAAGAGCATGGAATGAGTGAAAAGTGACCAGAGGTTGAAGTGATGAATCCTTTTGCCCTTTCTGTCTGTATTACACTGACTCGTGGATTTTTCTTTGTCCCTGTTCTTGGATTTCCCCAGCTGTGACTCTGCTCCAACCTTTAGCATCTTCTTAAGGCTATGCTGTTAAGGGAATGAAAAACTCCAGAAGAGGCTGGGAGTAGAGCCTAACTTGTGTGTCTGAATCTTTCTTGGAGGAGCTAATCTTTTTCCTTTGACTAGAGAGGAAAGGAACCGTATGACATAAGAAATGAAGATGGGTGCATGTAGTGTGGGCATGAGGGGAGTTGAATTTTCCTGTTTCATCGGAACTTCTAAGTAATTTTTAATTATGGTACTTCAGTAACTAGGATGTTGGCCTGGCTTCAGTTCATTCCTGGAAAGTGCCAACTCCACTTCCCAAGGGAGCTTTGTATAGTTAGTGGGTGAGTCATACCTTTTTGTAGGTTTTGGAGAGGGGAGAGGGGAGATGCAGTGGGACTTGTGCCACAGAGAAAAGAAGTAGAAGCTGCAATAAGGTTTCATTTGTCCTTCTAGTTAATAAAATGGCTGCTCTGTTTATTTCTGTAAATTTTAATTTATGTTAAAGGAACCTGGCGCCTTGAATTAAACCTCTTAAAAACCACTTATCTCAATCAGTTAATACTAAATTCTAATGCAAACATAAATAAAAATATGGACTTGTACTTCAATTACAATGCAAGCAGTGAAAAAATTCCAATTCATAAACAGGTTATATTAATAATTACACAGAAAGGTTAATAAGAAAAAGCAAACCCAAACAAAGTAAGGGAACCATTGAATGAGGCCACCCAGCTGCCCAAAATCTAAAGTAAACAGCTGGTGCTTTGAATAAAAACACATCCTCATTTATGATAATATTTCATCTAGAATATATTGGCCTGCTGGGTCTCACTGGCTTCTCCATATATCCATTAAAGTACAGTAGTCTCTTTCCTGCTAACATGTTCATCTTAGTGAATCACAAAAACCTCAAGTCTCTTTCTTCTTTTATAGTTTGGTTGACCTTGGAGAACATTCAGCATCAAATTCATAACCTAACCACAATAGGGCTTCTCTTTGTAGATCTGGTCCTGGAATGTGCGGCATATAGAGCATCATTAAGTCATAGAGATTATACTTAAATATTATTTCTGTCAGTCCTGCTGAGGAGCTACTGTGCCAAGCTCACCACACTGGGGATGCTGCTTCCCTCCAAAGCCAGCTGCAGCTGTCCAGGAGGTGACAAGCACTGACAGCACACCCTAAGGCCTGTCTTCTGCAAATGCTCATTGTAGGGTGGCAGCTCATGGCACTGACCCCTTTGATAGGGCACAGCAGCACCTTGCAGAACCCAGCAGTCTGGTGCTGCATCCCAGCCAAGGCTGCTTCCCTTTCAGGGCATCCAGTCCTGGCTGACCAGCCACTGGAAGATGCAGTTCAAGACTTGGGAAGGCAGGATGTGTGCCTCCTTTGACTGAAGGCAATACGCAGATCACCCCAGTATGAGGCTCTGACTGTAGGAACTAGAGCCACTGCTTCCCTGCTGTTGCCAGGTCAACCAACCAGGGAGACATCACCAGTGGTACCTCTACCAAGAGGTGTTACAAGGGAGGCCAACATGTGTGGCTCAGGATTGACAGGAGAAGTCTGTAGTGATTATTTACTTCATGCAGCCCAGGATACACAAAGAACTGCTTTTAGGTGGCTGCTTCTCTTAAGTGCCTATAAATATGGCGTGGCCAAGTGCTTTTCTGTTCTTCAGTTGCCCTTGCTTTATTTTCTGAGGAAATTGCTTTAGTTGGGCATAGTTTGTTTTCTTTTGCTCTTCTGTCTCTAAACTCTTCAAGTATGGCTCTTAACATAAAATAAGTTTGTGCCCGGTGTGACCTTTAATGAAATCAGCCAAATCTAAATAATGAAGACCTTGCCTTTTATCACATGCTTGCTTTTGCTGACTGCAGTATTGTGGAACCAAGCCTGTGGGCTGTCAGGAGTGTTATTTATGATTCTGCTATTATAGGGCATTCAGTCACCAGGCAGTCCTAACTCGTATCCCCACCTAAAAACTATTGTTTAGGTGTTGTATCTTGAATGATGATTGAAGAAGGCAATGCGGAGAAAGGAAAGGGTAGGCAGTCTTTCCTCATTTGTTTTAAACATTGCAAACCTAGGGAAAATCATAGTGATTTTCTTCTTTAGCTAATCAATTTATTTCACTTCCTGTATTAATTTCACTTTCTGTATTAATTTTACTTTCTGTGTTAGGTCTTTGCCTTTTGACTGATAATATTTGCAGTACTTCCTTTAACTGGAAAAGTAAACAGATAGTACAAGATAAAATGGTCTATAGGAACTTAGGCCTATCTATTCTGACATTGAACAGTGGAATTGAACTTTTTTCCAGGGATTCTGGTTTTCATTCCAAATGTGAAATATGATTTCCAGAGGCCCAGAGAAATTTTGAGGGGTTTTGCCTAATACTACCTAAGAAAAGGAGCTACCTCAACATAAACTGGACAAATCCACCTCTGTAAGACCAGAGATTCCAGCAATGTCTAAACCTATGTCTTCTCTTCCAAAGTGTGGAGATGTAGAAATTTCAGTTTCTTCAAGAGCTGAGCTACAGTAACTATGGACCTGCAAGGCTAACAGGCCACCTGCAGCACTTTCAGGACTACATCACAGTTTTTGTCTTGAATTTTCATCTTGGACTGTATCCCACCTGGAAAAATCTATATACAGTTGTTTGTGCAGCTCAAAACTGAGATCAGTATAAGGAGAAGAGCAGGGACGTGGAAATGCTGAGATTCTCACCTAAATTGTCAGCTTTCTCATGTGATTTTTCCTCACTCACATGACTCTCATGTGAGTCAGTTAAATATCCTTCTTCTTTCTTAGGACTGTTGAAAATGCATCCGAGTTTTTACATCTAGTCAAGAAAGGCCTACAGCTGAGAGTCAGGCACCCAACACTGGTGCATGCTCACTCCTCTCGTTCTCATCTGGTAGTGACATTGACCATAACCACAATTGTCTTTGGAGATAACTTTGGTAAGTAGGATGTTACTAAAATGCATCTAGAGCCAGTTGTTTTTAGAAAAACAGTCTGTGGACTGTGAGATTTTCATATTGTTTTTTCTTCCTTTTTCCAATGTTTGATACATTCCCTCAGTTCTTTTCCATTTTTCTAACTTCTACCTTCTTAAATAACAGACCACTTGGATGTTTGAATGCTACTGAAACTTTGAGTTTCATAAAAACTTACCACTTTTCTTTACCTGTCTTGACTTACAGAATTCTTGGAGTTTTATAGCATGGAGCAACTAATGAATAAATGTTGTCAGTAAGTCATAAGAGAGTTAAGATCTCAGTAAGATAGATAAAGTAGTTAAATCACTTAGAATGAATAATTACGTCATACAAAGTTTGTGGTAAAGCTAACCATGCATTATAGGGATTGGATACGCTTTTGGGTGAGAAATAATCAAATTGTTTTACCTCCTACCTTGCAAAAAAGTCCATTAAATTCAGTCTCTTGAACTGTTAGTAATAGGTTACTGCATGAAAAGACAATACAGGTGTCTTATATACAGTGGCAACATCTCTATTTCTACTTTTCATTACCGCACCAAGACTTACCAGTTTATTGCTTTTGGGGTTTTTGGAGTTAACTTTATTTTCTTTTGCTTATGTTATAATTAGGCTCTCTGTTTCCAGTGCTGTGGTCCATCTCCTTCATACTCTGCAACAACAGTATGATTTTAGAAAGTGGGAAATATTTCACATTTTTTCCCTTAGATTGCTATCAGAAATTAAACCACCAGTATCAGCAAAGCAGAACAAACAGTGCCCTTACTTACCTACAGGCCTTGCCAAAAGACACAGTTACTTCAGAAGCTGCAGCTCCAGTGTTTCAGGCAGCTCCAGATTCTTGTCAGTCAGACAGATGTTACAATTTTCAAAATTCAGTGTTGCACTGTTAGGTACCAGCCATCTTGTCTAGTCTAGAATTCCCTTTGCCACTTCTAATTGCAGTCACTCCACTGTGGCATGTTGTCTGGCAGCAAAGCTCTGTAGAAATGTGTAATTGCTGACTGCAGACTCAGGCTTTCAGCTCACAGCGCACAGATGAAGATGTGCCCTGTAGGGGGACAGAGCAACACTGCAAAGGGTGCCTCACTGCAACAGTGTGACAGCACGTGTGACAGCACATTCTGTCTTGTTTAAAAGGAGAAGATCCTGATTTAAAAGCCAGGTGCAATTGTCAAATACCACACCATCAGATATCTGTCACTAAATAAAAGGTTGTAAAATTTGTGGTGAGTTCAGCACCTAAAGCCAGGGTTGACAAGCCAGCACTTTTTCAGATTTGATTAAGGTGTTTTAGCATGTATTATCTGTCTTTTGAGGAGAGCTGTTTCTTAATTTTGTTGTCTAAAACTAAAGAAGAGACCACTTAGTTGACACTGTATGGCCTGAAGCCATTTATTCTGTGTAAACCAACACAGCTGCTCTGTCTACGCTGTGAACATCCAGCTTGGGTTTTAGCAGCACCTTACTTGGAGAAGTATAGAGCTCTGCAAGACAAGTCATCTGCTCTTTACTCAAGTTTTGCAGCTGGAAACTTTGTACTATTCCAACTAGACTCTTTAAAGACCCAAGAAGGTCTGTTGTCTCTATGACCTGTAGCAGAGTATGTGTCTTTTATTCTTTTATGTCTTTTAGAGAGAGAAAGAGAGAGATGGATGAAAACCAAAACACTAATTAAAAAGCAAAACTGCTTTGGGAAATCCCTTTTAAATATATTCCTGCTAAGCTAATGTGAAAGCAGATTTCCCAGAGAATCAGTCTTTGTCTTCCTTCTCAGCAGAGAGTGAAAGCCAGATGCTGCTACTGAGGAAGAGGAAGGATAGTAGTAGGTAACCAACCTGGACAAATGGCAGTAATACTGTTGAGGCTAATAGCTTATCACGTGTAGATCCAGCAGTGGGATATGAGGGCTGAAGGAAGTCCAGGGGGAACAGCAGGAAAGGACAAAGTAGAAAAGGCAGGATGAGGATTTTTTTTTTTTTTGCCAGAGCACCAGCAAGTGATGTTTCAAATACATAGAACCAGACTTCAGAGCCTACTGCTCCCAAAGATCCAAAATCTCACTCTGGTTACAGTCAGTCTAAAACTCGAAAAAAATACTTTTTTAAAGGCCTTACTGAACTCCTGTTTCTTGCTTTCCACATTGTATACAACACAACCTACACCAGAAATTGTTACCAGTCGGTACAATCAGTTTGATAAGTAAAACCTTAAATAAGATAAAAAAAGTGATTCAGCCTGCCTTGCCATGGATTCTGACTTGTATATTGCTTCTGTTAGAATAGACTTAAACAGCAGATACTGTACATCCCCTATTGATGTCCCATTTTTCCCCTATCTCAATTACCAGTGTCAGTGAGAAGCTCTCCTTATTTGCTTTTTCCATTAAACAGGTACTTCATGGGAAGATGAACAAGCCAGTCAGAGACTAAATAAAGAGGTTTCCTGCACCTTTCCACAAAAAACGAGAGATAGTAAATCTGCCTCTTCCTCTGGAACCTCTTCACCAGTGCAAGTCGAAGCATCTGAGAAAATTAAGCAAGTCAAAACTAGACTGCAGCTGGTGGACCTCGCTGGTAGTGAGTGTGTTGGTAAGGGAATGTGCCTGCTTGTGGGCATGGGTCACCCCAGATCCAGGTTACAATAGTTGCCTTTAGTTCTTTATGGAGGGGTACATGCTACCCTGCTCACATACCAGGCTCATTTAAACCCACAGATCCTGCCATAAAAAAAAATTTGAGGGCTGATTGTTCCAGTTTTACACTGGTACAGTATAACTGAAAATCTGACTGCATAAGCTTAAAATAAGCTCAGGGTGTTTACCCATATCATATTATTTGTTCAAACTGGTTTCATTAGGCCTGGTTTTCTGCTCTGGAAAGTAGCATGTTTTTGTACAGAAATGTTTCAAGTGCATAAATTATTTAAATATTACAAATATCTGTAATAATTGATATCACCATGTGTAGGGTTTTCTGCCTTTTTGTGGAAATTAGTATTGAAAAGATAATATTGTTTTTGTTGTTTCTTCAAAGCATTTTCTTCCTCCTACCTCCTCTATGCACACAGTAATTTCAAAAACTTGATTATTTCCTAAAGGACAAGCTTTCTTACCAAGAAAAACCATGCAGCCAAATGTACCATTCCAGAAATAATGTTTTGAAAACTGAACCAGTATTATGAAAGAGTCTTTTACTTTACTGCCAAAAATTCTTGCTGTTGCTCACTGTTAAACTTTTGTTCTACAGAGAAACCTAATATAATACATTATTTTTTTCATTTGCTCTAAATGCTGAAAACATGTAATTTTGCAACAGGGTGTGTGTTTGTTCTCTCAGTTAAACCAGGACAAACATTTCCTTGGGTTGGGGCTCGGCAGGCCAGATCCTCCAATGAAGCCAGAAGAGCTGTGCTAACATCAGTGTTAGATGTGGCCCAGCACACACAGCAGACTGCCCTCTGCCATCAGCTGTGCTGGTGAATTTACCCTGGTAAAAGTGAGGGCAGCTGTTAACTCATAATTGTTTTAAAATGTCAGCAACTCTAAGGGACCAGCAGTACATCAGGCTTCTCACACACTTCAGCACCCTGCCTTGTTAGCTCTACAGCCATCCTGAGTCATTTACAGGCCAAGTGGTCCCTTACTGGCAAACTAGGTTTCAGTTTGAAAACTCAGCTACATGCTTTCGTGGAAGTTCATCTAACCAAATGCAGATAATGAGCAGTTTAAACAAGTACCCCCTCACCTATTTGCAGTTTTCTGCTTTAGGGTGATGTCTGTTGTCTCAGGAGTCCACCTTTCCTTGAATAAAAGAAGTCTGGGGATGTCCATATACACAATGGCCCCAGTAATGTTAGCCTGAGATTCATCCTATCACAGATTGTTGTCCACCCTTTGGCAAGTCTTCCAAACTCTTTTGCTCCGTGTCTCTGACAAGAGACTCTACCACTCTAACCTCATCCTCTCCCACAGTCGCATTTCTCCTCATTGTCCAGACTTCTGGGGTTTTTGCTATTACTGTGCCTTTTCACATTTGCCTCTTGAACTCCTCGTTTGTCCTCCCAGTTTGGAAAATGCTGCCCTATGGGAAAGACAGGATCTCTAGCAGCTCCCTGTACCTGTCTAGAGGTGGGAGAGTAGGCAGAAGAGGAAACTGTTAGCCCTATCTGATCAGCCCACTACTGTGAGCTCTGCCTAACATGGATCATGTGCTCTGGGTAAGGAGAAGTGATTGCAGATCACTTCTGTACCTCATCCACTGTCCTGAACAAAGCTCAAATTTGAATAATGTGATACTAAATGCTAATAGCAAATTTCTCTTCCCCAAATGGGCAGGAGGAATTATAGCAAATCATGCCATAAACCTCCACCTCACAGCCTTGGGTGAACACAAACCCCTCATGCTTGTGTCTGCTATACAGTTTTGCTTCTGCAGCTTGTGCCATCAGTGCCTCCCCTCTTTTTCCTAAGGGATATAAATGGGGCCGTTACCTATTATAAAAAATGGTGAAACAAAACAGACTTCTTTCTGGGGACATTGTGGACTGGTGTTTTGTCTTGTGTGATCTTAAGGTGTTCCTACGTTCTCGGTTCCTTGTTCTTAATACATATGAAGCCAAAGTGCATTGTACAGATGAAGAGATCAACTTTAACATGAGATGCTTCAGACCATCTGTAGACACTGAACCTTCTTTAAGAAGGTTCTTCAAAAGAGTGTGTAGAGTATTAAACAATTTATTGGCAGTCCAGACTGAAAAACCACTGCATCTTGCTTTTGGCATGGGTGGGCTGGAAGTCATGGTTCAGAATTTGTGTTTAAAAATGTTGAGTCAAAAGCAGACGATACAGCAACAGAATTTTTCCCACATTACAGTTTTAAGCAGCTTTGCTTAGTGTTACCATTGCCTTTTTCTACACTGTACCAGGTATGTCTGGAGTGACAGGGGCAGCACTGAGAGAGACATCGTTTATTAACCGCAGCTTGTCCGCCCTGGCCGATGTTCTTGGAGCAATAGCAGAGCAGCGGTCTCATGTCCCATATCGGAACAGCAAACTTACCCATCTGCTTCAGGACTCCGTAGGTGAGGGATTATTCTGATTTCCGTTTAACTACAGATTTCTCCTCCTAGTTTTCACCTTCCTTTGTTGTGTAAAACTAGAGGATGATCTTGTACTCCTTGCTTGTATGTGGCCTCTGTTCAAAGACTCTGGTCCTGGAGCCAGTGTGAGTGTGAGTACACAGTGAGGGTTCTGAACTCCTCCTGAATTTGGCTAAACCTTGCTGTTTCCAAGGTTCATTTGAGGAACATCTCAATAGGATCATGTAAAGGTTAAAAATTGCATTTCACTGGTGTTTCATGTCAGGTACAGTTGACAAGTTAAACTTCAGTCTTTATTACTACAGGGTATAATCAAGTACTTGCACATTCCTTAATATTGTGCCCTGTAGCAGTGAGACAAAGGGGAAAGACAGGACATGGTACTGTGCTACAACTTCTTTCTGTGTTTGGGACACTTCCTCTTCTTTAGCTCCTCATCTATGCAGAAGCAGTTTTAAAGCAAGTGTTATTCCTGCAGTAATGTCAGATTTGTGTCCATTTTTATAGTATATTAGTCCATTTTATTTCAGCCAGAAAATATTAGCCCTCATGCTTTTAATCTCCAAGGCATTGACAGTGAATGAGGTAATAGTTCTTCAGAGCTTCTGAAATACTATTAATTTTTGCTTATACTTTGAATTTCACCAACTGCTGGAGTCTCTACTGTGAAAAGGGAAAGCCAAAAAGAGAAGTGAGTTTAGGGACTATGTGTAGGCACTGAGCTTGGTTTTAACCACACCTGGTGTATGACTTTGGTGACACCGTTTATGTCAAGTGTTGAAAATGGCAATTTCCTCCTTTGTTAGATCATTCTTGGTAAACTTCTGAGTCTGTTTTGTTTTACTGTCACACAAATAAGCCATTTTGCCATTGCCCCAAATTTACAAACATTTGGCAAAACTTAATTAAGTGCCCAGGCCCATAACATACGTGCTGATTAACTGATGAAGTTATAAGGAGCAAAAAAAATCTAAGTTACAAACTGTGAAACACTTGGGGGTAAATATCATACTGTTAGATATAGACTCCCTTTGAAGGGGCTTTCTATTTTGAACAGCTTTCTTCATGAGCAATCTTCTGCTTCATAAAAGCAATGGTAACCTATGCTTACTGTTGTGTAGATCAATATGTTACCAGTGTATAACTTACTGAAAATGAGGTAAATAAGTATGTTTTGCCTTTTCCCTGCTTTTAGGAGGCGATGCTAAACTGTTGGTTATGCTGTGCATCTCTCCTGGCCAGAAGTACTTAACAGAATCAATGCAATCTCTGGGATTTGGGACTCGTGCTCGGCAAGTTCAGAGAGGACAAGCCAAGAAAAAAAATTTCCCAATGCCTAGTAAAGCAAAATAAAACTTAAGACTCCTGTGGATTAAAGTATTATTAATGAGTTCCTCAGACTGAAATGTATATTGTTGTCCTAAAGCCATTCTTTTAGATATCATCTGCCAGATAAAATAAACAATCCTCAACACAGCATTAGTAAGCAATAAACCTGCTGATACTGTTCTTTCTCGTAACATAATAGTAAGTATTGACAACAGCTACCAACCATGGTGGAATGGCAGAGAAATAAACTGGGCTTTCAGACATGGCTTTGCCTGTGTGTTACCTTTGGGCAAATAGAACTGAGTCAACAGAGCCCTGATTTAGGATGGTTCACTTCTGAAAGGCCAAGGGTGCATTCTGTTTTCTCAGTAGAAGACAAGAGTCTAAATATCACTCCAGTGCTTCAAAACAGCAAGTGAAATACTGCCTTCCAGCTTGGATTAAAATGAGACGTCATTTTGGATTGCTCTTCTATCTAGCACGGATGGGGTCATTCCTAATGCAGTATCAACAGGCAGGAGTGTAAAGCAGTCTGTGAGCTGTATTGAATGGAGTTCTGTTCTCTGGTTTTAGGTGGGAAATAATGGCATTAGTGAGATGGAGAAAAATGAGTAAGGCTATATCTGTTATCCCTCTGGAATGTAGTTTAGGAAGCAAATGAGGGATTACACAACTTTCTGAAAACACACTTAGGTTAAATGGTTGGAATGAATTCCAGCTCTGCTGAGTTCACTAAAACCACAGCTTTGCCTAGTTTGGGGGTATTTTTGATTCATGAGTGCTGAGAGGCCCTGAACTAAAGATCCTAATGGGACCCACCTTGTACAACTGTTTTAGTAGTACTCTGGCCTCTTGTTCCTCTTGCATTTCTGAAGCAAGTTAAACACATCACAACCTTTAAGCTGTGCCTGCAGATTAGAAGAGAATAACCGTCCATCACACAAATAAAACACCAAGTAGCAGCTTGTCATATGCTATTTGTAATCCACAAGTGGCTTTCACCCTCTTATACCAGTGCTGCAGGGTTTGTGAATGAAGTTACACTGGAAGAAGTTTCAAGGAAGTTTAAGCAGTGTTAGAGATGAGAAGTGGTTCTGAGATGAGCAGTTGGGTTCAAATAACATCTGATGTGTTTTACCCACTACGTTATTGCTCAGCAGAGGCCTCAAGATCCACTCCTAATTTTTTCCACCAGCAGTTACTCTGCCCCTAGACTGGGAGAGAGGTCATTGTTGGGTCACTGCAAGAAGGCTTAAATTGCAGTGGCCTACCCAGAAGGCTGGAGTTTATAGTACTCCAAGTCACTTAACCTTCACAAACATAAATATTTATCCAGAGATTATGTAGCATACTATTATTGGAATTTCATCCTTGAATATGTAACAGCTGCTGTGTTGCATGCAGTGCTCTGGTGCTCAGAAATTACTATCCAACCAAGTAGTAACACTTGCTTTCCTAAATAATGTCATGGGGGTAAAAAATGCCTTAACTTTACCTGATTCCAACAGTAACAGATGGTTACAAAAAGAATTTGGCCACTGGAACTTATGAAGCTGAGTGGTGGTAAAGCAATCTCAGGTGAGAAAGTGTCAGAGCAAAGAGTGTTAGCCTGGTAAGTGAAATGCAGGAGCAGCCAACTTCAAGCTCATTGTAGTCTCTGGACAGCTAGGCTACTAAGGCAGCCTGGATTACAGCTCAAAGAGAGGTTGAGTGACAAGGGCTAGCTGATTCCACCAGCATCTGTAAGTAAGTTCCTCGAGTACTTTAGGGATTTGACATTTCTAAGTGTTACACAGAAATGCAACTTGTCACGAGCTGCACTTTTCTCCAGAAAAACTGCTCTTCAAAACTTTGCATTTGTTTACAATCTGTATGGTAGGGGAAAAGCAGCAATACTTATTGTTAGAGCAGAGAAATAAACCCCTCAAATATGAGCAAGTACCAAAAGGTTAAGTTTGTACATTGACATTAACTCTGCCAAATTCTGAGTATGCAACATTCCCTATTCCTGTTTTCCTTGTCAGTGTAGCCTATTGCTGAGTGTATGACCTGCACAACGGAGTGTACAGGATACGCAGGGCAGGGAGGTTAACATTTTGTTCTAAGAACTTTCAGGTTTGGAATTTCCTGGGTTATAGAGATGTGATTGCTCAATCCCAGTGTCAGATGCGATGCACTGAAGGGAAGAAGGGTAAAGGTTGTAAGGGTACACAAGCAAGTAAGAGTGAAAGCCACCTAAGTCAGGAGAAGTTAATTTCAATGAAGTCCATGAGTGCATGGTGCAGCATTCAGCTGGTGTCTTGGTGTACTGAAACAAGAGCACTCCCAACTACCTTCTGCCTGCTCAAGCTGGTCACTGGGTCGCCGTTCTGGAGGCAGTGCTGCTCCATATAAGGGGGTGCTCTCTCCTGTCCATGATCCTTGGTGCATGGACCTTGGTGACAGTCAACACATTAACCTTCTGCTGCTGGGCTCTCATGCTCCTCCCCTAGACTCCAACTATCTCCTGTGGCCCATTCAGTCAGTGCTCAGCTATATCACCTTCCTCTGCACCCTAGCTGGCCATAGGAAGCTCCACACAGTGATGTAAGGCATCACAAACCCCAGCTACCCATGGGACTGGCCTTCAGCACCCCTCTCGAGTTCATGCTGCTGCCTTCATTGCTCCGCAGAGCAGCTGAGCAAACCATTTTACCAACAGTACCTAGAAGCCTCCACCTCTTCCTCAAAAAGCCTACCCATTATAGAAACCAGCAAATACCAGAGAATTTGCTCTTGTGAATAGTTCAGTATTCAGCATCCTGGTTTAGTGTCCAGCTGGTCAAGGAGTCAATGGCATGAAGCTTGACCAGCACGGCAGCTGCCTGAGAGGCTTAGGGTCTCATACTCCTGCCAATGTACCCCGAACATGTTATGTAAAGCTGGAGGCAGGTTTCAAACTCCACGCACCCCTTGCCCCTGCCACCCTACTCACACATCCTCTAACCTACAGGCCAAGCACCCTCTGAGAAAGCAGAAAATTTGGATTCAGTTCAACGACAAATGTTTGAGCTCCTGTCTCTCCCAGCACATGTGAATGCTCTGGCTTTTCAGGACATCCAGCAGATCTGGAGATAGGTAAAATGGGACTCTGTCAGACCAATCCCCAAGTCCTAATAGAAGCAAGTGCTTATCTAAGGTAAAATACACACATACATGTACACACAGGCTACACAAAGGTAGCAGAAGCCTAGACTTCTCTAGAATCACAAAAACCTTCAAAGTACCAGTCCAAAATTTGTCCCAAAAGTACAGTTTGGTGCCCACATTTCACTGTCAGTTTATCATTACAGATGGAATTTATCAACTGTGGTTGGTGGTTCCCCTTGCAGCCAAAGGAAAGGGATTAACAGGATAGATCCACTTTCAGCAATGCCTCTGCCTCCCTAGTCTAGCAAGGGAGTCCAGGCAGAGGGTTTAGAGCCCCAACTCTCAGTTTGCCACAGCGAGGGAAACTGATTGCTCAAGGACCTGATTTTGAAGAACATACAACTGCTGTGGAGGTTCTTCGCTCATTTTTTTCAACCTCAATCCCTACCATACCTGCCCAGCTGTAACCTTAAGCTCTGTGGTACGAGTCCAACCCGTGTCTTTCAGCATTTGCAAATCTGTCCCCAATTCCCTTGCAGCATCCAGCTTTTTGAACAGGGGAAGGCAGCATGCAGCGAGGCAGAGCAGACATATGGCATAGGAGCAGCTCCCCATCAGTTCCCTGCAGAAAAAAGTCCTCAAACTGCACCATTTGCAGTGAATGCATTCAAATGGGACAGACTTTTGTCCCGGCAGAACTCTCTTGTAACTTTATTACCCCATATCTATCTACACCGACTCCCGGTCCAAGCTCTCCAGCCAGCCAGATGCTTCTTATCCACCCACACACCATACACACCCACATGACTGCTTCCAGAGAACAGCCATGCTTCAAGCGGCTTTCCAGCTTGACCTTGTGATTCTTTTCACGCATACACTAATCTTAGCTCTGGCTAGCTCAGGACCACAACATCCTTGCTTCAGTATTTTCTTCTTCTTTTATCATCCAGGTGGCTGGTGGTGTCCGTCCAGCGGCTCCTACAGTTCCCTCTCAGAATGTTTTACTCAGTATCCACAGGGAACACCTCTGCTCTGAGTGGTAACACTGCAGTTCACAGCACTCTGGACCCCCTCCAGACAAGCCTCTAATCTTCCTCATCACCCGGGAACACTCTTATCAGCTGAGCCCAAGGAAGCGATGTGATTCACAACTGCTTAGGAGTGCTGTATCTCATCATGGGGTTAAAAAAAGAAGTAATTAAACCACCCAGTGCCTTTTGCCCACTCTAAAACAAAGCCTTGACCTATGCTGACATTTGAAAACTATATATTTAATTTCCACGTGGCTTCATGTCTCGGCAGCAGCCACACCACAAAGAGAGGCTGCTCTTGGTTTTAGCCAGGCTAGAAAAACCATAATCAGCATTGGAAGGTTCACAAAAATGTTTAATTTGTTATTAAATTGCTGATTCCATTTTATGAAGCACTTTTCCAAACCTTTGCAAAATGCGAGGAACAGGCTGAATGAAGTGGTTACTGGAAAGGGCTTTTGGCTCCTGCTATGGAGAAGCAGTTGCAAGCTGATGGGCTTGCAAGTCCCTTCCAACCAGACAAAGAAGCAGCAGCATCTGCTCATGGAGGAGCAAACATGCCCAGAGTGCAGAAATGCCAAAGGTTCTGCAGCCTTTCACAAAACCAACTTGGCATTTGAGCACTCCTCTTTGCCTGTGTTCTTACCCAAGATCTCAGATGGAAAAAAAAAAACAGTTGAGCTCTCTTCTCCATACCCAAGAGTTTGAGATTGATAAAACAAAGCATTTTGAAGAGGAGTCCAAAACTCAGTACTAGATTAAGATGACGCAATGCTCAAAATTCACCTGGTTTGTTCAGTACATGACACATCTCTAATGATTTGGAGATCAGTCTTAGAAAACCTGCTGAAATGCTAGTCAAGTGACCAGACACATTCAGATGTCACAGTTCAAACACCAGGACCTAAATTCAGCAACAAAGAAGAGACAGCTGCTACTCCAGCTATCTGGACCAAATATTTAGCATCAGCTTTGATGGAAACAACACGGGGGAAAAAATCCATAGTTGTCAAACTCCAGGAGCATGCGATCGGCATATCTTATCTGCAGACCTGCAGGCCTAAAGCTGTATCTCTGCTTATTTTCCTGGGGAACCACAGTTAAGTCAAATTATCATCCCTTTTTCTCCCAGCTCCTCTGGCTTCATCCTTGCAAGTATCCCCTCTGACACATGTTCTCTCTTGCCCTTCTTCAGGTACATGAAATTACTATCCTGGCTGGGATGAATCAGTGCCCAGTAGTTTTAAAGGCAAGCACCAGAAAGAGTGGTTTTTTCTCTCATTTTCCTCTGGACTTTACTAATTTACCTCCTCTAAATTTAAAAAAAAAAGCCAAAAGACCAAAAAACCACAAAAAAACCCCACCAAACACACCAGACCAAACCAAATAAACCAAAACCACCACAACCAAAAAAGAAAAAAAAAATCAAAAAACAAAAGCCACTAAAAAAATCCCCCACCCCATTACTGTAAGAAGTTTTGGAAGCCACACCAGAAGCTTTGAAGTTCCAAGAGAAAGAAGATGATAGTTCCTCCCTCACTTCAGATGTCTGGGCTTCTACAACATGAGCCTACTCTACCTCCTTCTGAGCACATACACACGCACACATGCACACATACTCTGCCCACTACATGTTCTGGTCTGGCATTTTGAATTACACAAGCTCCAGGATAAACACACAACCCAATTCAGAAATGGGAGCATTTTGCAGGGCAGTCGACACACTAGGGAGCAGTCCTCCC